ATGAGGAGGAAAGCATCATGGCTTTTTTGCAAAAATTTGCTGACCAAACACTCCCCAACTTGCAGACAACTAAAGCACAAGCAATTCTACTCATTCTGACTTATGTAGTTGCTGCTAGACTTTCCTGGAACCAGGTTGACGGACTGCTGAAACTGGTCAACGGTCTTTTCGGTTGTGAAGTCCTTCCTGCCACCAAGTACATGCTCCAAAAGCTCTGGAACTTGAAGCAAAGCCGTTTTCTCAAGTTTCATTATTTCTGCAAAACATGTACAAGTTATTTAGGAGCAGGCTTCTTCAGCACAAAGCGAGACAAAAAATTGAAATGCGAGGTTTGCCACCAAAGCTTCACCATTGGGCAACTTGTGTCAAACGGTTCCTTTTACTTTATATTTGACATTCGCAGCCAGCTTCAGCGCGTCATAGCACAAACAAGTGAATAACTGTACAAGAGTCTTAAGGAATGGCAATCAACGTTGCACAGCCATTACACAGACATTACAGATGGCAAACTGTACCAACGAGTAAGACAAAGCCTTGCTTTATCATGGAGCGACATCACAATGAGCTTCAATGCGGATGGGGCAGTGGCATTTAAGTCGGCTAAACATTCAATGTGGCCAATCCAACTGACTGTCAACGAACTTCCTGTGATGACTCGATGGCAGCATATACTCCTTGGAGGACTTTGGTTTTCGAAGAAACATCCACCGTTACACTTACTCATCAAAAGTTTTGTCAAGGAGTTCAACAACATTGGCCACATCACCTGGTGCCATGGCAGCGAGAGGATTCACTCTTTCCTCTACACCATTTTTTGTTTCGTTGACTCTCCAGCAAGAGCAGTGCTCCTAAATATGAAACAGTATAATGGATACCAGAGCTGTTCATGGTGCATGGAGTATGGAACCCTTGTAGAAGGTAAGCTGTTGTCTCATAATCATGGCATGGAACTCCTCATTTGGGCACACATGGTCTTTAAAAGTGGCTGATACGCCTACACATGCATTCAAATTGCAGCTACGAGCACGCTGCATCTGACAACCCTCCTAAAAAACTTTCAGCCTTTCCACTCTGGTGAAGAAAGAAGACCAGCGAAGCTGTACTATGGTACAATGAAGTAATGGCCGGCTGCATGTCGGCAAGGCAGAGGGGAAAGGCTGGAAAGGTTGACACCATCTATGAGTATAGCGGCATCCAGACAACAGGCAAGCCGGTTGTTGGTTGCCGTAGCTGCATATAGATGGCGGTAGCTGTCCGGAGTATTGTGTCAACATTTGTTTGCCCGCGAAAACCATACTGAGGAAACTAGCCCTTAACAGCTCCGCTGTAAAAGGTCAAATTGGACGTTCATGTTTATACAGCTTAAGGTTGTTCCACCCAGAGCCGTGTATACAGAGAGTTTGGTCAATGGGAGGCGCTGGCAGAGCCAGGGCATGCACCAGATGCAGAAAGTGGGGCTTGGCATGCTTTCTTGACCATCTAGAAGCCTAAAAGGATCCCCTAGCGGTGGTAGCAATTAACTGTTTTAATCAAAGGTATATGTTTCTATATGGTTTTAATAAGTGCGTAACAGTAACGTGCAGCAACCTTTTGTGGTTGAAAATAGGGTGCGCGTGATGTTTCTATCATGATCATGCAGAAAGATGTAAGAAACGAATGCGCCGCTCAACTCTGTTTTGCTCGGACAGAGTTTGACCGCTCGGACGGCAGATTCCCGGCCCTCGGTGCTTGACGTACCGATTATGTCGATTGTTCCACTAGTCGCTCTCTTCCACGAGTTTGGATGACCGTGATTGAAACATCACGTGCACCATATTTTTAGTCACCAAGAGTTACTCCGATGCACTTACCAAGTTTGTTTGTAGCGACCACCGCCAGAATATTATTTCCGGCTTCTGGTTGGCCACATTCGAATTTCTGAAGATGCCCTAGAACACGCCCAGCCCGCTTTCCGCTAATGGCGGCTCCTCATTTGTCTCCTATACTTCCCAACGAATGGCCAAACTCTCTGCATATACGGCCCTGGGTCTGCCAGTATGATGGGACACTGGTTCACGCTGTAGGTGAGCAATTTCGCCAGTGCAGTACGATTGCAGTAGTGATACACAACCACATGCCGGCGTGATGCCCATCCAGATCAAAACAGGCAGGGGTCGGGCTCGGACCAAGGGTTCCTCGGTTCTGCAGCGTGAGATTTCACTCCCTGCAAGTCGAGCTGGCTGTGCGCTTTAGGCCACTCGGCCACCAATTCCCCCTAATCACCTGTCCACTTTCCACTGCACTGCTACAAAACATTGTCCTCATGTATAGGTGCTGAAGTTAACGGGTTAACTTCGCTTTGAATTTCAGGTACGGTGAAATTTCCCTACAGCGGTCCTGCGCAAGAACGGTCACATCAAGATGTATGCGACAACATGATAGGAGCCTGCACGCAGAGTAGGGTGGTCAATGGAGTCAATGGCCCGACACCCTTAATTCAACTGAAGGGAATGGATCTTGTGTGGGGATTTTCGCCCGATTATATGCATGCTGTACTGGAAGGTGTGACAAGGCAACTAACAGAGCTGTGGCTAACCTGCACCACTGGACCTTTCTATATCGGAGCCCAGATAAGAGAGATCAATGCTCGCATCTGCAAGATCAGACCACCCATTGGATTTCCCCGCCTCCCCCGCCCTCTAACCGAGCGAGCATTGTGGAAAGCAAGCGAGTGGAAAGCGTTTCTTCTTTTTTATGCTTTGCCTTGCTTGTCAGACATTCTACCTCCCCAGTTTTTCAGACACTTTTCTGTGCTATCCCAAGCAGTGTTTTTGTTACTAAAAGAAGCTGTAACAGAACAAGATGTACATGCCAGTGAGGGTTTGCTCACAGAATTCGTAAGGAAATGTGCTTTGCTTTACAAAGAACCAGCAGCTACATTCAATGTGCACATTCTGTTGCATCTCCCCAAAAGTGTCCAAATGCTGGGCCCTCTCTGGGGGACCTCTACTTTCCCGTACGAGAACAAGATTGGAAGTATTCTGCGTCAAATAAGTGCTTCTAGGTATGTGCCGTATCAAATTGGAGAATGATGTGTAATGCACGCAACACTGGGATATCTCAATGAAGCGATTACGCTGCCTCCCCGCCTTAAAACTCTCTGTCGGCAGATGTTGCACACACGAAAGGAAGTGCGAGGAACAAAACCACTAGGCACATCACAAATTGAAGACCTACCTGAAAACCACTTAAACCTGCTCTCTGAAAGATTTGGCTTCTTGCCACGAACGACTTCATATGAACGAGCCCAGATTAATGGTGTTGTGTTCAGTAGAACAAGCTATGGTCGTGCCCAGAAGACATGTTCGTGCTACTTGAAAATGAAGGATGGCACATACTGTGTAATTCGAAAGATCCTCTCACTAGGACAAGAAACTCGGGAGCTTGCATTACTTTGCACAGAGCTCGTTGTCATAACTGAAGGCTTGGGAAGTGCAAGCTATATCGTAGAATTTGCTTGTCCACCAGGTTTTGAAAACCTTGTACTTTATTTTGCAGATGATGTATCTGCTCAATGTGTCATGGCCCAGCAAGGTCAAAAAACGTTTCTGCTTGAAATTCCAAACAGATATGAAGGACTAGCAAGCTAGAGCTAATTTATCAATATTGTATTTAATATAAGAGCCATATCCAGAAACTGGAACAAGGCAATTATTGCTGAAATTCCAGTAGATATCTGAATGTGCACGATTTCCACAAGTATCAAACTAATGCAAGAAAACCACTGTACGAAGGGCCGTGGTACAGGGAGCAATGCTCATCTGTTAAGCAAACATTCCTGTTAATCTCTCGACTTTCAATTCCCATGCATTTGGCTTCAAGAAAACAGAACTTTAGATTTAATGAGCAGTTATCATAAAAGAGCTTCAGCTGTTACAAGAGATACTACACTGTTTGTTTTGCTTAAAAATCTTTATTCCTCTGAACTGAAACACGAGAACATGTCTTTGTTCTTAGACTGAACTACTTCCTCCTAGAATGTATGCAAGGTTCGAAGTCCTTTTATGTAGTTATGAGAGTTTCGATTAAAACTGGAAATAAACAAGCAAACACTGAAAGCAAGTGTTGCTCAAACAAGCTACTTGTACTCATGTTTTATGGGACAAACCAAACTTTGACAGTCAATGCTCCAGTTGATTGAGCCTATCGGAGAAAAAAAATTCAAATAATGAAAAGATTTAACATCAAGCACAGTGTCAGACAAAGCTAATGAAGCCACAGGAGGGAGTGGTTTCGGACGAAGCACGTGCCACAGCACAACGAAGAGAAAGCATTTGCCCTGAGCATTTGCCATTTCTTTAAGGGTGGCCAACATCCGGCTGCTTAAGCTTTATGTTATCACTGCTTTGGCGCAAACACCACAGCATCATCAAAGCGGTGACAATAGGCAGGACGAGAAGCTAGGCTGTGGTAGCCCTACACTCTCGGAGCTGGCAGATGCTCGGTGCAAGTGATATCTTGCCTCTGTGCTGCGGCATACAGGCAGTCCAATGCCACGCGCTCCTGAAGGATCGTTGGTTTTGTTCACAAGCTAGAGTGACTAGAACAGCAGAAAACCAACACCAAAATCAAACAAGCTCCTCTTAGGGCCCTAATCTGGACACTTGGAGAAAAAGTCGGCGAGAAATCTGGAGACCGTGATTGGCCGTCGCCGCACTTGACCTTGGCGCCGGCCATCATAGCCGCCGGATTTCTCGCCGACTTTCTCGCCAACTGTCCAGATTAGGGCCCCTGGAATGTGACTAAAGCTCACAAAAACATACACACCTGTTTTAAAACTTAGTTTTTTCAGAACATTTTGATTTAAAAATATTTTCACGCAGGAGCAAAACCAGTCAATCACTCAATGTAAAAATGCAACACAAAAAAAAAGTGATTCTGTGGGCAACATAAACCTTAAAAAATAATGGCTTCACAAGGTTGGATGAAGCGCACAGTTCTTTTCGAAGCACCTTCAAGTGTCATTCAGTGCTTTGTTTAGCATCAGCTGGTGGAAAGATGTTCCTTTGGGACTTTGGGGGCCTGAGGTCGGATATCTTGCGCGAAAGGTGCACCCGCAACTTCTTGAGCCTATCCTTTTTTTCCTTGTCTTTAGCACCGCGCTTGTCAAGGTAGTGACCAAACAGTTCTGCAAGAAAAAACACCCAGTTGTATTGATGGGAGGTATTCAGATACAAATCAAAAGCCACTGCATTTTATATGAACACCTATAAAATGTAACGAATGTTTATTCATTGTCCCTTTTCTTGGTATTCCAACACGTTCACCGTCCGACATGCTCCGTATCACCGATTGCATCCATCACCTCTTCTCTCACCACCTTCCCGTGCTATGCACTACTACCAGCTGAGCCAGACAACCTTGCTGTCTGATACAGAGTTTCTGCCTGCCTGAACTCAACTTTCCGAGGCTTCCCTGATTCCAAACTTGGTATTCCAGCACAAATTTGAAACCGTTCTGAATATCAGATAGTGCTATCACAGAAATATATAAATATTCTGCTAAAAATTAAAAATAGTGGCATAGGTAGAACTTTGCAAGCTCGCCAGGCTGGCGATAATGCAGCAGGACAGTGAGCTGGTGTGATCCATGCGTCACCTCAGAGCAATGGGATTGGCCCGAAAAGTTTGTGGGTTTGGCCTGCAGACAGAGTTAACAGTAAATGGACTATAACTGGAATGCTTAAATAAAATCATGAGTACCTTTGAATGCCCTCAGTTTCGCTGGAGTAAGTGCTGGAAATGGATCCTGATAGCCTCGGAAGAGCACTGAGTTGGGGAGCGTGCCTGTTACGCTCCTCTTGGCAAGGACGTCGGCTGGCCAGAGTGAGACTGCGGCCAGTCTGCAGAACTTGGAGTTTGTCTCTTGCTCCATTAGGGACTCCCAGGTTTCCATGTCAATCCACACGTTTTGACCTGCGCACACCTGAAACGCCAGACCAATTGCAAGGATCGCATAGGTTTGTGATGTTCAGAAAATTGAGGCATGTTTCTGCAAGGATATACCTTACCTTGCCATCCTCTCTTTGTTGACCCACCGCTGTTTTTTGCTCACCATGGTAATCGTTTGAGTTTCTCTCTGTAATAAAATAATACATGCACAATTAAGCATTACACGCTTCTATTACAATACAGTGATGCGATTGGTCCTAGTCATTTTGGAGCAGCTATTAGAGCAGCCAAGGGTTCATTTTGGAGAAGCAAAAAGAGCTTGTGGAGTATAATTGCACACTTTATTTTCATTTATATTTCTGCATACGGTGAGGAGGAAAGACTGCAAATATTAGGAGAACAAACATTAGCTGTTTAGTCGTGTGTGGAAGCACCAGACACGGTAACAAGACAACCGATGAAGGACAGCGCAAACTGCCGTGAATGATTATTTAAGGTATGAAATCCCACTGAACAAATGTCAAGAAACAATCATTTTCAGCACATAGATTTATGGGTCCTTCAAGTTCTAGGGGGAGGGGGGTTGTAACAAAGCTGCAACTCTTAATTCAGACAAAAAACAAAGCATAAATATAAACCTACAAAAGGGTCCATATATACCTTCTTGCACCACGTCTCGCTCTGGAGAAGTACGGCAAAGCAAGACACGCAACGTCACGACGCTTAGTTTGCAATTGTCGCTTCACTGCAGTACACCGATATGCGGGGAGAAGTGCACTCAACAAAGCTAACTAACCCACCATAACAGACCACAAGACTTGTTGCAAAACTTCCGAGTACTGTCAGTGCTTGTTGCAAAAGCAAATCGAACAGTACATTATTCAAGGCAATTATCGAAAGTCCTGAAAACCCGCACAAGCATACCCTAACAATCAGACCCAGAAGTGAGGCCTGCAGCTATAATCTTTTCAGTATACGTTGGCGCAAATTCCTCACACTTTGGTCGAATGTAGCAGGGTAAGCAGTTTGGTGCAGCAATCACATCACTGCAATACGACTGGGCACTTCACCTTGGTCTGAAGCAGTGGCCACAAAAGCATCTTTGCAGGGGCTTTTCGATCCTTGTCCACAGGCTTCATAAGAAGTGCTGCAATCTTCACCTGCGAAGCAATCCCGTGGTAACACACATTCACGGTAAGAGCATGTGACTGATAATTCAAATGAAATTTTGATGGAGACATCACATATAGGAAACAATCAAACATTTATTTTCTTTCGTAGAAAGTGCCCCGCTCTGTGTTCAGCCATTTTAGTTTCCACTTTTTATAGAAAGTACCACCGCATTCTTTTTGTCTAACTTCCTAAATTGGGGACATTCTTAACAGTTGTTCATTAAATCCTCATGTCACTACCAAACTCATTGCTCCTAAGGCCGGTTAGAGAAGTCATATCTGTAATGTTGAGAAACTCTGCTCGTTCTATAAATGGCAAACACCAGAATAGATCATTCGGTTGGCGGAATACTTGCCATGATAGAAACTATCCCTGCTCTAAATCCCAGGACAGGGTGGAATTTTCCTGCTTTCCATATTGTGAGAGTAATCTGTGTGATCTACAGGAGATCACATACCAGATAACAGACAATTGATTGGCAGCCAGGCAAGCAAATATGTCGCATGTGAGCTTGCAGTCATGCATCCTAGAAAGGATTCCGTGCACGGCTCCTCTCAACAGGTTCGATTTTTTTTTTAAAGGACACCAGTTTGTGTGAAAATTTCTCTTTGCAATGGCAAGTGCTTTGTATAGTTGCGGGGCAGTGTGATAGCCTTGCGGAGCCATATGTGATACTTTCGTTGCCCTCACTGTAGGTCTCTTGTCGTCCCCTTTAACTTTTTGGCTGTTATTGACTGTGCATCATACCATAGACATTATGTAACAGAACTGGCCAATGCATTTTTCTTTGATGAAACTGTCTAAAACTGCAACAAATGTATTACTTTTTTTTTTTTGCTAAGATGTACAATTTGTTGGTGAATACAACTTACTCTTCATGATGTTCAAGATCTTATTGAAACAAGATCAAATTAACAAGGTAATGGATGGAAGAAAGGTACTATCTCTTGCAATTAACTACAAAAGACCATTCTCTTCTAAAGTGGTACGTACCAGCTTCAAGGTGTTCATTTTCTGGAGATTCGGGCAACATGGCACTTGAAGTGGCAGTCAGATGCGCTGAAGGAAACAGAAAATGTATACAAAGGGTGTAGACATATAGTGTTACCAAGAAATGAAACAAACACTGACTTGATGCAGTAGTAGTAAATTGTGCCACAATATGGAAGACCTACTAAAAGTGTACCACTGATTCTGTTTTGGGCATGAGCCTACTTTCCCCGAACTCTTGACCTAATTTATAGCCTGAGAATACACTAAAGTTCTATTGCCCCCGAATAAAGTAATCTAGTCTTAACCAAAATGGGCTGCGAACTATGCATGACCGCTGCATCCAATATGTCATTGCCCATTCACACCGACTGGGTCTTTCAGTATATGCAGCACCACTCGTTGACGACTCTTTGCACACAAGGCAGCAGCAAGCTGTTATGTAGGTCTCTTGACATCCCCTTTAACTTTTTTGTTGTTGTTAACTGTGCATCATACCACGGGCATTATATAACTGGTCAATGTATTTTTCTTTGGTGAAACTGTTTGAAACAGCAGCAAATGTATTAATTCTTTTTTTTGCTAAGATGTACAGTTTGTTCGTGAACACAACTTACTGTCCATGACGTTTAAAATCTTATTGAAACACAATCAAATGAACAAGGTAATGGATGGAAGAAAGGTACTATCTCTTGCAATTTACGAAAGACCATTCTCTTCTCCTGTCCTTGATGTTTAAGATCTTATTGAAACACGATCAAATGAACAAGGTAATGGATGGAAGAAAGGTACTATCTCTTGCAATTAACTACAAAAGACCATTCTCTTCTAAAGTGGTACGTACCAGCTTCAAGGTGTTCATTTTCTGGAGATTCGGGCAACATGGCACTTGAAGTGTGTGGGGACCCTCTCCCTGGCTCCCCCGCGCTCCGTGACCTTCCCGGTCCCCGCCGCCGTATTGTCGGGCGCTCCTTCGTTCCCTGTGACCTTCCCGTTTCCGTCGCCGTCCGGTCGCGGAACGTCCGAGCTCTTCGGGAGGGACGGGGCAAGCGCCCCCTCACCCAGCGCTGACGTCGGAGGGTCGGCTCGCAGGAAGGTTCCCGATTGGACGGTCGGCGGGACAAGGACTTGGGAAGGTCTTAAGAGGGGCACGGAGACAAAGGCAGAGAGCTTGGGCTGCCGACTTCACAAGGGACCGGTCATGGAGGCGAGCTCGGACGGCGCCGGACGCTGGCGCAGGGAGTGCGGGCACTACGTCGAGTAGCGGACTCGACAAGCGGACCGGACAGCGACCCTGGACGACGATGTTCCCATGACGCGGTGGGGACGACCACCGCTGGGACTCGGAGAAGCTGCGGTGGCAGCGGGCTCTCCCCCGGCCTCGCTGGTGACCGTCCCCCGATCCCGAAACCCCCCAAGGCAATGAGTGAGTGAATAAACCCTTTTGCCGAGAGCGAAGTATTGCAGTGTCATATTCATCCGGGAACAGGGTCTGTGGGAATCGGAGCTAGAAGATGCCCGCATAAACTGGCGCCGCAACGTGGGGCCTGATTTTCGATCAGGCAGGCATTCCGATTCCTAACCTGCTTCCGGTTGAATTGGGGCACTGTTTCGCTCTCTTTTTGGGGGTCATCTTTGTCGCGGGAGCGCCGCACGAAGTTTCGTTGCGGGAGCGCCGCACGGAGGCCCTGACATTATCGCCTGTCTGATTAGAAGGCGCGGATTTTGACCGCTGTTTTAAGGGGTTAACCCTTTTCCCCAGCCTGTCAGGAATTTACTTATCCCCCGTTACGAGAAGCGCCATGAGTATTTGCTGTCCAGCGCACCGTTGGATGCTGGCAGGTTGATCCTGCTACGCAAGAGCGCTGTATGCGTCGAAATTACCGCATTCCTCGAGGCATGTAGCGTCGGGCGTCACCCCACCTACGCCTCCGGCCGTCCATGTCTGCTGGAAAGATGCCGGCTCACGCCTTGGGGGATGTGACGCGCCTAACCGCCTTTGCTCGCGTATCGATGCAATGTTTTGGAACGCTTGTTACCGATCGGACGCGTTAGAGACACATCGCTCCGGGTGGAGAACACACCCATTGCGGATGGCGGTTGCATGTACTGTGTTTGGAAATTATTCCCGCATTGCATTTTGTCCGGGAGGAGACTAGCGTCTCGGTTTGATCGCATGCTAGCTCCCAGTTGGCCTTGCTTGAGCCGTCGGCGCGGTTTTGAGCGTCGTTAGTTGACAGCGTTTTAAGGTACGGATGCGCTCTTGTGGTTCCGACCAAGATCGCTTTGAACGAGTACCTTGTGGCCAGAGGCTACATTTAGGGGCTGAGCCCACTAAATCGTGCCGGGTACGCGATGTCCGGTGCGTGGACATCGGAATCCCGAAAACCACAGAGTTTCCGTTTTCACTTTATCAGTGGCTGTGCGTGTGTAATGCTCCGTGGAGTCCAGTCTGGCGCGATGGGCATGACCCGTGCGTTTCTGGTTGTAGAGTCGTGAGGTTGATTCCGTTTGATTGTGCGCACAGTTGGTTCCGGATCCTCACACCGCCATATCGATGGTTGAGCCTCGCGGCGGGAGTGACTCTTTCATTTCGTTTTCTCAGTCTCCGGAGGAGCGGCGGCCAGCGCGCGCTTTGCGCTGCCGCCGGATGCAGTACGGTTCTCGGCCGTGCTTTGGTTCACGTTGGGACGCGAGGGCGTAGAGAGCATAATTGGTCGTGCAGAGGCCTGGATTAGAGATAAATTATAAATTTAGGTGAGAAAAGACAGCTAGGTGAGGAAAGAGCTGGGCTCGTGCAGTGAAAACCTGCACGAGGGGAGTGGCGGTCTTGCGATGATGTGACGAGTTGTTCATAGTTTTATCCTGTACAGATGCGCGGTTGGCCCGGGAAAACGTACGGTTCACGTCGGCGGGTACGTGCCCGGGAAGCCTAGAAATTATGGCAGCGGTATGGCCGTCGGCGGCCTATAACTGTTGTGCGTTGGGTCAGCCCGTCGCTGTACTAACTGCAGCCTTTGCATGAATGGGTAGCGGGTGTTGGAATGCGGCGGTAAATGCTGTAGACACTTCGACGCTGCGGAAACTGTTTATGCAGAGCAAATATAGTTTATTAGCTCGTCCATTTCCAAGACCGGCCGGTTAGATTATTTGGCATTTCGGTATCGCGCTCGTTGCGCGGAAGTTGAGAGGTGCGCGTGTGGGATACTTACATTGTTCGAACCCTGCCTGTCCTCACAGTCGCAAGAAGACTTTTCAGTCATGCGGCGTGTTGACTTGGCTGGGGGCGAGCTTTGTGCGTAACCTACTGCGTTTGTATGCGGACACGTTGCTCGATTCGAGAACGTCGAAGAGTCGCGAGACGCGTGGACGGCGTACCTTTATTGCTCGATCCCGGCCGGCCTTGACATCAGCTGGAAGACTTTTTAGTTATGCGGTGTCGGAGTTTGGCCGGAGGAGAACTCTAACGTGCGTCGATGCGCTTGTCGCGGTTATCGAGCCCGTGCGGGGTTCGGTGCGGACCGCCGTTACGCGCTCGTCGCTCCTGTTGGGTGGTCACCTCCGAGCGGTGAAGCGGTAACGTCTGGTAGATGCCCAGACGTTACGGACATAGCCGTGTAAATAGGCTGTCCAATGAGATCTGTTCGCACGATCCAGGTACTGTTCCCTTTGTACTGGTGTAAGTGGCCGGTACCACGGAACAACGGCCTCTCAGTAAGGTGATTACCCCTTCTGATGAAGGCGTGCTGCGTAGCTTGGCTGTAGCGTGTTTGTAGCTCGGGTTGCGTGAACGCCGAGTGCATGAGTGCCCGTCATGGATTGTTGGCAGCGTGTTTTTTTCGAGTCGCACCTCGCGAACGCGACTGGATTTGTGACCGTTTCTGTTTTACGGAAGGTTATTCTTAGTTTTTGAGGTTTTGTGCGTTCTTCGCGAGTGTGTTGGAGATTAATATTGTTGTCAGAGGTGTGCGGTTCTGACGCTCTGGTAGATTGCTTACTGTTTTAAAAGAATGCGGTTGAGTTTGATAGTAGCAAATGTTGTATAGTGGGCGTATGTACGATTTGAGTATACAATGATTGCTCATACTTTTTAGTTAAAGAATAGTTTTCCTCTTATGTACCTCTTGAACGTGTAGCGTGACGTTCTTGATGATTGCCTGCCTGTTGGTATTGAAATGAAGAGTTTTGTTTTTATCTCGTGGCATGTCCAACGATCGAAAGATTTTGGTTTCGTCTCGCTGTCTGATATAGCGTGCCGCTATTCGTTTTTGCGCGATTCGCTGTCTGCTACATTAGGGACGGAAGCGATCTTTAAGAGCCGGCGTGTTGTGTGTGCCTGAGTGCCCGTCCGTGTTGTGAGCTGTGGTGCTCCGGACCAGTTCGTGGACCGTGCTCCGTCGGTCACGAGCTTCCCAGTGAATCAACGTTCACCGCTGACCTGCCTGGTTTGATGCCATCATCATCATCGAGGGTGCTCGTCGTCATCGGCGACACTCAGCTGAACGAGCTCCCTGCCAAGGGTCCTGGGGACCACGCAACCTCAAGCCCCCCGGGGTCCGAGCCTTGAGGGAGGGGAGGTGTGGGGACCCTCTCCCTGGCTCCCCCGCGCTCCGTGACCTTCCCGGTCCCCGCCGCCGTATTGTCGGGCGCTCCTTCGTTCCCTGTGACCTTCCCGTTTCCAGTCGCCGTCCGGTCGCGGAACGTCCGAGCTCTTCGGGAGGGACGGGGCAAGCGCCCCCTCACCCAGCGCTGACGTCGGAGGGTCGGCTCGCAGGAAGGTTCCCGATTGGACGGTCGGCGGGACAAGGACTTGGGAAGGTCTTAAGAGGGGCACGGAGACAAAGGCAGAGAGCTGGGGCTGCCGACTTCACAAGGGACCGGTCATGGAGGCGAGCTCGGACGGCGCCGGACGCTGGCGCAGGGAGTGCGGGCACTACGTCGAGTGGCGGACTCGACAAACGGACCGGACAGCGACCCTGGACGACGACGTCCCCATGACGCGGTGGGGACGACCACCGCTCGGACTCGGAGAAGCTGCGGTGGCAGCGGACTCTCCCCCGGCCTCGCTGATGACCGTCCCCCGATCCCGAAAACCCCAAGGCAATGAGTGAGTGAATAAACCCTTTTGCCAAGAGCGAAGTATTGCAGTGTCATATTCATCCGGAGACAGGGTCTGAGGGAATCGGAGTTAGAAGATGCCCGCAAGTGGCAGTCAGATGCGCTGAAGGAAACAGAAAATGTATGCAAAGTGTGTAGACATATAGTGTTACCGAGAAATAAAACAAACACTGACTTGATGCAGGAGCAGTAAATTCTGCCACAATATGGAAGACCCACAAAAAGTGTGCTACTGAATCTGTTCCGGGCATGAGCCTACTTTCCCCGAACTCTAGAGTAACCTAATTTATAGCCTGGGAATAAACTAAAGTTCTATTGGCCCCGAATAATATGATGTAGTCTTAACCAAAATGGGCTGCAAACTATGCATGACCGCTGCATCCAATATATCATTGCCCATTCACACCGACTGGGTCTTTCTGTACATGCAGCACCACTAGTTGATGACTCTTTGCACACAAGACAGCAGCAAGATGTTTCTTCTCACCAGAAACATTCCTTCTCTTGAAGACACAAATGGTAGCCTCATATGCAGGGCAATGTCAGGTCATTATGAAGCAGCCTGTGAGAGCTTTTGTATGCACACAGGGACATGCTTAGTTGGAACGCCTAACGTCATTCTCTTGGATCTGACTCGTGAGTATCCAAAAATAAAGGTACTCTCTTAATCTGACGCTGTCCAGATGCACTTTCTAAGACATTAATAGTTGTGAAAGCAGCCTTTCACGTACACGAGAATATTGCACAGAACTGCCAATTGCGTATTTCAGATAAGCGTATACCACAGTGTACATCGTTTAATTTTGAGCCACCGCATTATCAAAAATAAGCTGTGATTACGCATTGCGACTTACATAGAGGTGTGCTGCTGCCAGGCCACTGCTCCAGGAGTCTTGACTCTAGAACATACATTAACTTGGAATAGAATACCACAACCCACATTTCACAATAGCAAAATTCCACTAAGAGCGGTCACAAATCCCATGTGTCAAATTGCTGGCTTACCGAGCTCAAACACTTTGGAGCAAAGTGCTCTCTGTAGCAGTGCGTTGGTCCTTCGCAATTCTTTCAGTTCCTCTGTAACATCTCTCCGTTTTTGAGTCTCCAATTCAAATACCAGGTCTGTGTTATTCTTTTGTTTAACTAGTTGCTGTCTGAACTTTTCCTGATCTTTGGGCTGAAAGAAGGACACTAGATATTAGCATCAGATGCCGGCTCCTTCGATGGAAAGGCATTTTTTCGTTTTAACCGTAAGTGGTTGAAACACCATCATCAGCCATGACAGTTATCTGAATGATGCATTTAGTAAGGGTAGTTATTTGTACTACAGACAGTTGACAACAAACAACATGCTTGAAAAATGTGTATGCCACTGATACGTATCATCCACTTGAGATCACAGAGTGAGCTTGCACCTGGTGCAACAGTTGGTTTGTTTACCTCTATTGTGATTTAAGGAAGGTGAGGAAAGTTGTCCGTACTGTCACTGAGCTAAATGTTGCCTCACCGTGACACAAAGACTGTGCTTTGAGCAGCACAGTTTTGATTAACTCATTGGCTTGTCGCAGACATTGTTGAGAAGAAATTGGAAATATTAACTAGATTAAGTGTTAGTGCACTTAAAAACAATTTGACTTGAGCAAGCATTTGCGACAACCAGACTTATTTGGACCAACCTACCCATGCCTGCCCTGCAGGTAGGTTGTCAAGTACACCTGCATACAAGTTACGGGAAATGGGTATGTATAGTGTGTTGCAGAATAAGAAAACGGTGAGGAAACCCTCAATCCTTTCCACTTTAGCAGAAGGACTCTGGAGAGGAGGAAATCGCCAATCATGACTAGTGTAAGGTTTGGTGGGAGGGGCTTCTCCTGTATTCTTAGGTTGCGCCATACTATGGGCACTTTCTGTGACGTACCAATATAAGTACTTCATTTCTTTTAGTCTGGCTCTCGCGCAAAGACCTTAGGTTCGAATCCTGGAAGCAGATGAATCTTCTGTTAAATTGCAAGTTTATGTGTTCTAGTAAATTCGAGAACATTGGTGTTTCTTTGAGCAAAAAAATGTTCTACGATGGAATGTACTATAGTCAGTCACAGCTGAAGAATTGCGTACGAGGGGGAGAGGCGAAAAGAGAGCAAAGCAAGTGGAGACGAAAACTCTCCATTCAATCCAAGCTTTTGTCTGCTGCTTCCTCTCCAGGTCATAGGTCATTTTTGACCTGTCACTCACTATAGTTCGAGTATTCAAAAAAGCAAGCAGCTAAAAAAGGGCGCCTCTGCGTGGTTGTATGCAGCCAGTGTATCGCCAGCACCTGATCCTCCTGTTACGCCGCTACCGACCCTTCCCCGATGCACGTTATGTCCTTTTTGCTTGCAGGCACAAGTTTTCTATATTACACGCTTATTCTTTCAGTAATTGCCACCTTACCGCTTGTCATTTGTGACAATATATAAAGAGAATATCACCTCTGAGTGAAAATAGTTTTAAACAAAACACTGAGAAAAAAATTATTCCTTTGAAATAACATTACTTACCGCAACAGACGTCAGAAATTGCGGGAAAAAAAACACGCTGATTACCTAACAAATTATTAACTAGAATTCAGTAAGGGACGGGTTAATTAGCGTAATAAAAGTATGTGTTTCCATCGAAAACTTCGACGCACAAGTGTTCTACCAATTGTTTGATTTTGTGTAGCTTTGTCCTAAAAAGCTGTGTTCCGAAATATTGCTCTTCAAACTTTCTGCACAATCCCGCAAAAAAAGATGCGTAAACCCTGACGCATTGCATCCTATTTTGCCGGATCGTGTAAAAACATTGAAGAGGGGATACCTCAGAAAACAAGGGGGTTAGGAAAATTCTACAAAACTTTCCGCAGCCTTTTGACCGAAAAATTGGTTTAAATATAATTTAAAATCATGGACCTAGCTGGTATCCGAATCTATATCAACACTAAAAGGTTTTCAGCCTAACAGGAGTGCACAACAAGTTTCTCCGAATACAGAGATAATGCAAAAGCACAAACCATTCTTTTTTCTCTTGATCTCTTACAAAGACGACGCTTCTCCTCCGTTCTAAATTTCTGTACATCTTCTTCAGAGTCTGAAAAATGTACAATCTTATATTACATTGTGGGCCATTACCGCATGCTCAATTTCGAATAAAATATACAACACTTGACCAATGTTATTGCGTCATTTCCAATGCAGAAGTTCAAAAATGCTATAATAATTTGGAACCTTATGCCGGTGCTGAGGGTTTTTCAGCAGTGGTGACAGGTGTTCATATTGAATTCTAACAAGGGAATTTCATCAACAAAGGAGCATTTTATATAAAAGCTTGCATTCCGAGATGGCCATCTTGGATGGCTATGAAACGGTTCACAAGCCAAAGTGGCAATCTTGCATGGCTATGGAACGGTTCACAAGTCCTTACAGTGAATGTAATTCATGACACCAAAAATCTGAAAAAGTGTGTACCCGTCCTTATCTCTCTTTTTTTTTTCACTTTCGAAATTTGCGTTTTTTAGGGAAAAGGGACATTCCTTTACAAACGGGCCCACGCGCACCCAAAGCATGTTTAAGAGAAACGCCCTCGATGTCTGAACTTTCGGGACGACCGTATACACTGTAATTCACAAAACGTATGCGACTCCGTTGAAGTTAGAGAGCAGGCATGCATGCTACGACAGGCAGCCCTCGCTTCCACGGACGAAAGGTAGCAGCAGACATATCTGAACTACCCTCCCGGATGCTTTTTGTCTGCGAACTTCATGAAACAATAATAATGATTGAAGTGAGGCGCCAAAACAACGAGGACACAAGGAGAGAAGCAGACAGTTGTCCTCGTTGTTTTGGCGCCTCACTTCAAGCATGTACAACCAACTAGCCCAACTCGCCGTTCTAATTCAATAATAATGAGCTGCGACACAGCGGTAAGGCCAATAGCGCACACCAGATAGAAAGGTATAAACTTTCTTGCCTAAACCTCTCGGACCGAGCCAAGAGCATTTCAGTATTGCAGCGCGAGGTTCTGACAATGAGTGCATCGCTCTAAAGAGTTCTTCGGCTGTATATGCAGTTAAACCAAGCACTCGTACATCAATCGCGGTACTTAAATTTTACTCACCCGCCATGTAGAGTAGTTTCGCGTCATAAAATCCGCCTTTCGTTCGAGCGTCGCCGGCCCAGTAGACTTGATAGACCTTGTCTTCAATTACGCCGCTAAAGTTCCTTATGTAGTCCGAAGTCACGACAGACTGAGTCTTGTCCATCAGAAATTCCACGAAAACGTAAGACATTGTAGTGCGGACAAACAAAACAGGTCGAGAGCGATTGTACCGCGTGGAAGCTCGGCGAACCTGGAAGCGAAAGTAGAAGCGGCGTCGGCGGCGCGTTCTGCGTTTCGGCGGGCTTCTGATCAGGGTTGTCGGGTGCCCTGCTTGTCGTATTTCTAACATTAGCGGTTCTATGGCCTCACGTCCCGAGATCGTTTTCTCGTGCATAGATGATTTTACGTATCCGTATATTTGACGAAATAGTGGTATCCGAACGAACTTTAAATCCTTTGACCGTAGGTCTGTCTGCACGTCAAAGCTTTTTGACGTACAGTCAGAGACAATCGATGTACAATCAGAATCGCCACCAAGACATCCTGATGGCATTTCGCGGCGGCCGACTGCCACCAGGAAACCATCAGAAAGCCGACAAGCGGAGTCTGACTGGAGTTTGACTGTAGGTCAGAGTAACTTGTTGGTCAATCAGACATGCTTGACGTACAGTCAGGCACAGTGAGCGGTCCACTAGAAAACATTGACTGCCAAACAGCGTTACATTAATGGATTTTTCCTTCGGGACAAGAAAACGATTTCGGGACGTGAGCCCATAAAACCGCTGTTAGAGATGTGACACGCAGCCGACCGACAACCTTGATCAGAAGCCCGCCGAAACGCCGAAAACGCCACTTCGCTTCGCCCATAGAGGCTTCGCCGAGCTTTCATGAACGATCGGTCTCGACTCGTTTTGTTTGCCCGCTTGCTCCAACCTGTCGATCCTGCCCGGGCTCTACAGTGTTTTATGTTTTAGTAGAATTTCTACTCGACAAAACCCAGCCAGTTGTGAGTTCCGACGATGTAAGGGACTTTAGCGGTGTAGTTGAAGACGACAAGGTGTACCACCAGGTCTACTGGGCCGGAGACGCGCGAACAAAAGGATCGGTCTACGGCGCGAAAGTACTCTACATCGCAGGTGAGTAGAACTGAAGTACGGCGAGTGATGTACGAGTGCTTTGCATAACTTGCCGAAGTCTTAACTGCATTTGCAACCGAAGCATCTCGTATAAAATGAATGGTGAAATCGAGTTTCCTAACTACAGTTTGTATAACGTTTCTATACGAGCTATCCACCTGTCGTTTTCCGAATTACTTTTCAATTTGGCCTTGTATAATGTTTGCGGAACCTACTGCAAGGATGTCTGTAAATAACTTGTAAATAAACTTGTTTCGTTTAAAAAAAAACAAAAAAAAACGGCGTAGCACAGCGGTTAAGGTGTCCGATTTGTACGCAAGTGGTCGCGGGTACGATCCGCGGTGGTCCTGCTTTTTTTTTTTCTTTTTTTTTCTCCAACATTTTGTTTTATCGAGGCATTTGGCGATATTTATGAGCGCGTATAGCTTTACATTTATATAAATGCTGCCCTTATTGGTGGAATTCCCTTGGTAATGGCAGTCAGACGTCATCTGATGGACCATCAGATGTCGTCTGATGGTCCATCACGTTCCACCAAGGCTGCTGACTGGCAGACAGTGTCCCAAATTACGTATCTTTATGGAATTTTCAATAGGAATGGGAAAGAAAGAACTCGCACTAGACTATTGACTACTGTTTAATGTCGCGTAAGATATACAGCAGATTAGGAGGTATGTAGGTCTAAGGTCTGGGGAGCGACCATAAGAGAATCAAGATTAGATTTGGCACAATAAAACCAAAAATGCAAAATCAAAACAAGAGGGTAGGAATAACTTAAATGTTAAACAGTTAGAGGAGGTATCTAAGCGCATCGAGAAAATAGTATCCAAGCAACCGGAAAGAGAATGGACATGTGAAGACTAAGTGTTTTCAAAAAAG